TATTGTATTTGAAAGATAATTAATTAATTATGATATTTTACTGATATTTACAGTACCCGATGTTGCATATTTAAAGAGAATCAAATTTGCAAACAGACTCTTTGTACATATTAGAATTACCCCCCTCCCCCTCCCCCTATTAAAATGATAGAGAAATTACGGTATGCGTGGTCTAGAATGTTTAGGATTATGATAATATTTAAAGCCTGAAAACAGATTCGCTTGCAAACGTCATGCAATTGCTGTAGTATAAAATAAGTTAAATAACAAAAAAAATTTGAATAAGTTGTTATTGTAATGTTGGCTTGGAAGTGTTCCTGGCCAGGGCTCGACACGGTAAATTGCTCAGAATGTTTGGAAAAAACCATTAAAATGCACAAAACATAAAAATATCATATATTTTTAAAACACTCCGACGTCATCTTGTTTCAGTTCAGCCCTTCTTTCGCACATTTCATAATTTTTTTCTTGTCCAGGTTTCTCCAGTTCTCGATTGAGATCAGTTTTTGTTATCTGCGCGTGCGCATTAAGTGTTTTGTGGCCAAGCGCATGCGTATTTGCAACACAACAATGGCGGTTCGTGGATTTCGAAATACGACGAAGCATGAACTTTGGAGTGGTTGTACTTCAATTTGTGCAACTATTTCGCTTGGGGGGAAGTGGATTCTAACTAAGTAAGTTCTAATCTATCCATTCATGTAAAAATTATGTAGTTACACGAGGGGTGCTACGGAATCTGTTTTCTAAGCATATTTTCGACCCTCATCTCACGGCCTACAACGCTATTTATAGATGCATTAAGTAAATATTCAAAATTAGCCACTCCCAAGTTGCTCCCACGAACAATGACAGAATGATTGAATTTCTTTAAAATACAATGAAATTTCATTCAAAATTCTGTTTGTTTCAAATTGGAAATTTAAAATGGCAATAAAAACTGTCTTGAATTATTTTTTCGGGCGGTACTTTTATATTGTATAACAAAATATAAAACATTTTCACGAGGATTTTAAAATTCAGTCGGGCGGTGATGACAATCAAGGAATTTATTTTATGTTGGGCAGTTGGGACTTGAAGATACGAACTATTGATATATAAATTATATAAATATAAAATATAAAAAAAAAATCTCCCACTGTCTTTGACATTTCAAAATGTAGACTGTGTCTAGTGATGAGAATCAAGGAATTTATTTTATGTGTTAATATAAACCAAGCCCGTTTAGCTGTCTTAAAACGGTGCCAAGCTCAAAATACAAAGCATGCAAGTCTATACTATAGATTCATCATCATGCAGTCAACAACCAAACTGAAAGTTTTGAACCTTATAAAACGATAGTTTTTATTTGTTTACAACTATACATATTCAACGGCCGACAACGGGTATATAAGAGTTTAACTGTTATTTGATTACTGCATCAACCGGCCCCTAGTTCTATTCATACTTTGGAGGTTCGCGTATCTATCAAGTATCTTTGGTTCAGAACATGACGGGCCTATATGAAAATTCCACCGTTCGATTCAGTGAAGAAATATCTCCTAACTTCTATCGATAGTTTTAGTAAAATGTCAACATTATTGCGATTTATGGTCTTTGAAAGTCAAGCGAGATCGTATATTATCAAATTAATACGCATGTAATTGTCTGAACAAAAATATAGACTAGCCCATACCTTTCGCTGATCATAACTTCAGCCCCTTCGGACGTATCTTCTTTGTTAAATATTCTTGTACGAATCGCTATCAAAAACACTACTTAGAGTGTTATTTTTCAGCTTGTATATTTAAATTCGCTTCTTTTTATTATGGTATTCCATTTCTGGTCTGACTTGACGTGAACTAATTTCAAAACGTCAAAACATTTGGTTAATGATTAACATTTAACCGAATTTAGCCGTTGATTGACAACTACATAAAAATACTAACCAATCCGTTTTTCCGTTCACCAGCGGACGGGTAATTCAAAAACCCCTAGTTTTGCGGCGGTTTAGACGGTTTAGACGGTATTTCCTTTGCTTCCCTAATTTTCGATGCCCGTAGAAATACCGCCTGCCATGCAGGCTAGGAGTCTCATTAAAATCGAATCTTCCGTACTCCGCAATCCGTACTCCATACTCCGCACTCTGTCTTTTCCAAACTGACCACTGAACTCAATAATCATTTCTATATTTAGAGAACCAAATACGCACGTGCTGTATGTGTGGTTTCAGCAATTCAGCACAGTGATAGCCGATAGGAGTGTTTATACAGAGTGTTACATGCTTCTGTAGTTTCATTGTACTAGTGTAGCCATCTATTCCGTGGTGTAGCACCTTATATAGTCGCTGTGTAATGAAATAAATGAATATACCGCCTAAATAATATCGGCACTTAATTGAATGTAGGTAATGCATAACATCAATTTATGTTTTTAGAACGGGGCGTAGAATCTCAAAGATTTTCTGAATATTCACGTCTGAAATATTTATAATTATACATTTGTAAACAACACTGTCTCGCTCCCTGCTAACTCTGTATAATGAATATACATCAAAATAATATCGGCACTTGATTATATTAAATGCCCGTATAAATGCATAAAATCAATTTATATATTGGGTAGAATCTCAAAGATTTTCACAATATTTACGTCTGAAATGTTTATACATTTGAAAAAAGAACTGTCTAGCTCCTTCCTAGCTCTGTATAATGAATATATACCGCCTAAATTAATATCGGTACTTGAATGACCGTAATGCATAACATCAATTTATATATTGCGTAGATTCTCAAAGATTTACTCAATATTCACTCTGAAATGTTTATACATTTGAAAAAAGCAGTGTCTAGCTCCTTCCTAGCTCTGTATAATGAATATACCGTCTGATAATATCGGTACTTGATTGAATGCCCGTACTACATAACATCGGTTTATATATATTGCGTAGATTCTCAAAGATTTACTCAATATTCACGTCTGAAATGTTATAATTATGCATTTGAAAACAACACTGTCGCTCCTTCCTAGCATCGTCACGTCATCCTTACCGTGATCTACAGCTTGATAGCGCATGCGCATTGCCCTGCTAAAAAAATCGGGTGTTCCGGGGTAAAGATTCTTTACACAACATGAGAAGCGAATGTTATAAAAATTACAACAAATTACAATAACGACAACGATTCCTCGAAATTTTTCGTGAACTTGGCAAAAGGACAAAAGATTATTTAAATAAGAACAAATGAAATTGCCTAAGTAACCTTCAAAGCACTGACTAAACACAATAAATCACACAAACATAAATCGTATACTCCCCCCGGAAAGTTTACTCTCTGCCTGTATGTATGAATAGATAGGATAGATATATAGATGTATGAATACATGCCTCGTCTCACCTTGCCACCTAACAGCAATAGTGCAAAGTGAAACTTTGCACTAAAAAGAAGGACTAAAGACTATTTTCTGACCATGATCCTTTGCGCGCTTGTGTCCAAACTCCTCTGGCTGTGATCGGATCAATTGCCTGTTTTCGCCTTGCCTTGTTGGAGCAAGTCGCGCTTGTCTTGTTATTGTACGCCTTTCAGGTGTTAGTACTATGACTCGCTTAACGAGAAATAGTAGGGATTGTCCCCCCGCTTTTTCACAATCTGGCGACCACAGTGGGGATAATGCGGTATCGTCGAGAGCGGGTAGTGTACCGACATTGTCAACTAGGGATATTAATATACAGATTTAGATCGAGGATGCGGACATCAAAGACGACGTGAAAATGGCGTCAAAATGGCGTGGAATATCCATACATGGGCACAACACGCCATTTTCAATTCGTCTTTGACGTCCGCTTCCTCGATTGTGACAGACGTGGTTCAAGCGTTACAAGGCCAAATCAGCCACTTGGTGGAAAACGCGATTGACGCTCGGTTATCGTCAACGTCGGATGGCCAGAGTTCAGTATAGTACGGTCTGGTCCGGTTAATTCCACTACGGCGTCTACATGGTCACTTGTGAACCACCTTCGTTCTATTGCTGGAAACCTTGCTGCTCTCGGTTCAGAGCCACCATCGTCGTCATCTTTCCCGGCGTCTGGTGAAACAAGTACTGGTATGCCTCGTATGGTAAATTGCTTAGGGAACACACGAGGAAGGCTCGTCACTAACTGATGGTCCGCAGAAATTAATGTTCAGCTTTGGGCGCGGGTACTAGAAGTCTCCCTGCATCCACGGGTTCTCGTATTGATTTTCCCCTGGAGCCACAGGATAGTTCTAACTCACCGACCTTTTGCATTTCGTGGAATAAAGGACGGTGTGTTTCTTGTACAGCATTTTGCCGTTTTAAGCATATCTGCTCCAATTGTCTAGTTTTGCCCTGGCGTTTAAATATTTTGGTAAATTAGAATAATTTGGTTTATTAAAAATAACAATGGGCCTAAACCTCGAGGTATGCTTGTTTTCATAAATGATTCACACAACAATATTGGGTCCTATTTGATAGATACGACTCCAGCCAACGATTTGGCGTTCCCTTTATTCCACAAATTGCTATTTTGTCTAAAAGTATATTGTGGTCGACAGTATCGGATGTTTTTTTCAGATCCAGAAACACAATCCCATTTAGTTTCCCATTGTCAACATTTTTATACCACTCGTTGGTAATGTCCAGAAATGCTGTAACAGTTGAGTGAAGATAACTTTTCTGCGGTCCATATTTTAAATGCCGGCACCTGCCATGAGCATTACATTATGGCGTTATTACGTTTTATGCTTGGCGTATAGCTGCAATTTCACCTTCGAAGCACGACACATTCCTGGACTGACTAACTAACCCCGTGGCTGACGCACTTTCTCGTTTTCATTGGCAGGTTTTTCGACAACTCGCACCCAACGCCCCACCAACGCCTACCTGCATCCCACAAGAGATTCCGCTCCGACTAATGCCCAGTGCCAGCTCTACTTACGACATGATTTGGCATCGTCGACACACCGGACTTACTCGTCAGCCAACGTTCTTTTCTACGTTTTTGTCAAATGGCCAACCAAATTCATGGTACTGGTTCTCCATCACCTGCTGGGGAGTGGACTTTCTGTCTTTTGTCCCAGGTTATCGATCGTTATAAAAGACAGCCAATCATTACAGCCATTCTTCGGAGTATCTTCAGTCAACTTAAAATGTCCAATTACGATGATATGTTTTGGGCAGCCTGCTGCTTAGCTTACTTCGGGTTCCTACGCTCTTCCAAATTCACCGTGCCTAATGGTGATAACTTCTCCCAAGCTCTTCACCTTTCCGTCAGTGACATAACCGCTGATCAACGGGTTGCCTCATCTCGTACACAAGTGAACATCAAGGTATCTAAAACGGATCCATTTCGCCAAGGTTGCGTTATCACATTGGGACGAGGCACATCGCCCTTGTATCCAGTCGAGGCGCTGTTCAACTATTTAGACGTACGTGGTGGCGCATCAGGTCCGCTATTTGTCCCGCTCAAACGGTGCTCCATTAAATAGGACTTATCTCACCGAAAGGCTACGTGGCTTGCTACCCAGTGCGGGGATATACGGTCACTTCAGAAGCCATAGTTTTCGAATCGGTGCAGCCACGTCAGCTGCTTTGGCGGGTGTGCCATATCACATGATTCAAACATTAGGACGGGGACTAGTTCCGCATATTTATCGTACATTCGTACTCCGCGGAGCCTTTTATCCGAGTTAACTAAAAGTTTATGTTAGATTCCTAGTGATACTATGATAATAAAAAAGTTGCAACATTGTCTGGTTCAACCTCGCAAGCCAGGCTCTCTACTTCCGCTTCCCTCCCAAACACTCTCCAGCAGAGACCCTGGTTCAGACTGGTCACGTGACACCCCAAAATCTGGGGTGTTTTTAATTAGCGCCATGTATGCTACTTAGGGAGGAGTGGCTGAGTAATACATGTCGTTGTTTATGTATATCAGTTCATAGTAAATGCATTCTGAACTGATGCGATACATGTAAATGCATTCTGAACGTGCCGGATGCGATAAATACTAAAGGAAGATACTGTATAAAGCCATAAAGATACTGTATAAAGCCATAAGATACTGTATAAAGCCATAAAGGAAAAGCCAAAGTCAAAGATACTCCAAAACAAATTAAAGGTAATAATAAATCAAGCGATTGCCGTACGCGAATCGATTCAGTTCCTCGCGGCCGGTTCTTCGTAGAAGAGATTTTGTTATCTCTACACATTTCTGTATTTCAAGCCTAAGAACAGTATTCAATATATGTTTTACAAATGGAGGACTACAATTACAATGGAAATAAAACTTCAACTGTCTTTGTTCGCTATAGATATAGACAATCGGCTAACGCTTGTTTATAATTCTCTATTCTTCAAAATTCGGGATGACTCAAATTCCATGGGCACAAACCAAGGTAACTAAAATTTATACACTGATAATAGAATTATGTAAAACAGGTACAAATTCATGTCGATAATCCCAAGGCTTTGTCGTATCCTATGTTGTTTTATATTAGATGTTGTGAATCGACTCGCAATGTTATAAACAAGTGTCAGCCAAATTTATTTCCAACCAATTTGTATACTCATACTGAACCTATAAAAGCTAGTAATTAAGCATTAGAGAGTTTAAGCTTCGCGTTTATACGTCAAACGCCAGGCAAAGAAAAATTTTACGGTATCGGGCAATAAAGAGTAAATGAACTTGTTGTTTTAAAACTGCAATGCGTGATTATTCTTTCGACACAAGAAAGAAAATATGAAACGAAAACGTTCAACGAAAATTTGCCAAGAAAATTCGAACCTGCCGTTTGCGGTTGCCCGGAAACGTGAAGCTTAAACTCTCTACTAACTCGGACCATCACGCGAACGTAAATTATAGTCAAGTATAGCAAAATATACTATGATTAATTTATATGGAATATATAAAAAATATGGAAAATATTAATAGCAATAGCTCTATATGTTTATGACATGACAACGCTCGTTTTCCCGTGTTTACTTAGCTGTTAGACTTGCTCCAAGTCTCTCTTTCATTATCATATAGTATCGATCCACTATAGTGTACATTACATGACGTAGCACAGAGGGGCGGAGCGAGAAAGAGAGACTTGTCAACTTCGGAAAATCTCGGTTCAAAACTGAACCGAAATGCAAGACTTGCTTTAATTGTTTTCTGTCAGTGTTTATATGTATTGATCTAGCACAGTGTAAATAACATGAGTTCCATTATAGTAAATAATACAGAAAGAAATTGAAGGAAAACAATTAAAGCAAGTCTTGCATTTTCGGTTCAGTTTTGAACCGAGATTTTCTGAAGTTGACAAGTCTCTCTTTCTCGCTCCGCCCCTCCGTGCTACGTCATGTAATGTACACTATAGTGGATCGATACTATATGACAATGAAAGAGAGACTTGGAGCAAGTCTACTTAGCTGTATGCCATGCAGTTACGATATTGTTATGTTACACGTTCTATTATTCAGCTACTGTTCACATACGCAGAGAAAAGATTAAGTGCTGCACCATTAGAATGATTATAACGTTTTATAACTTTTTTACTTTTGCACTTTCATTTCCGAGGATATAAATGGTTTATATTTCGACATCCACTTCATAATTTCACCAATTTAATGCATCACGAAACGAATTACGCTCTACAAGATTTGTAGCTATATGATTGCGAACCTGCATGTGTATTATAAAATGTTGGGCTACGTTTTATTTTAGGCAGAAAAAATAGATGGTTTGTTCGTCACTTACATGGTCGAGACCAGTTATACAGTCCGGCGCCCAGCCATAAAATGTATAAAATGCTAACAGACATTTTTAATGTTTGTTTACGTTGTTATATTTATGACACATTATATCCTTCGAGCAAGCATGTTGTTTGCCATTCGCCCAAAAATTACATTAAAGTGCTTTTAGTTTGACACAAATAAAACGTTATAGAATTTTAATTTGTTTTAAAATAGAATCAGTCATTAAATATTGACAACGTGTATGATATTGCGCTTGGGCCTTGGCAATTGTATAATATTAATGAAAAGTGTAATAGCATTGAAAATATTATACCATACAACTGTACTGCGTGTTATAGCATGTTTGAGCGCGGGCGAGGGAGGCATTGCTCTGGGTACGAGATTATGCACCTACTAAATGTGATTCGGTAAAAAAAAAATTAAAAATCCGCCCGCCCGCACGGTTTTTTTCTGCTACCACTGATGATAAACCGGGATATTTTCTTACATGGCCTAAAGTGGCTTGTTTTTATCGGGTATCACTTTTGGCTTTACCGTAGAAGTAATATTATATTCCGGTTATACATTTTACAATACAAAAGTCAAAAATCTAAACAACTATAGTTAGTCATACATTTTGATAATCCAATCTTTGCGCGATATTCGAAATCAACACTCCTTGCATTTCACAGATTTCAGCCTACCCTCCCATGCGACAAAATGAATTAAGGTGTCACGTGACCAGTCTGAACCAGGGTCTCTGCTGGAGCGTGTTTGGGAGGGAAGCGGAAGTAGAGAGCCTGGCTTGCGAGGTTTTGTCTGGTTGTGGTTGTTTTGCATGCCTAGTTTGCACGCCATCGCGTATACCGGACGTGGGTGCCAGTATGTGGTTAGTTTTCGAGAGAAGTACCCATGACAATTTGCCATGGCACTTCCTCTTCAAGTTCATACTGAACACTGAAGGTACTGACCACTTGGAGGGAGGTACTGACCACTTGGAGGGATGCCTTGGCAGAATAGTCATGGCGAACTCCTTTGCTGCTATTTTACAGGTTGCTGCTGTAATTGTTGCTGCTCTGTTGCCATGCCAATACGTCTTGCCAACAAGACGTTGCAGACTTCGACCACAAAGGGACCAATACCCCCAAACACTAATACTATGCCGTTAACTGTTCCTAAGACACCGTTACACTTCGAGTACGTCATCAGGCTTATATATAAATAAAAAGTAAAATGATAATAAACATACGCAAAGCTTGGAGGTGTTGGACTTCTCCGTCTTGGAGGTGGTGAGCGTGATCTATTGACGAAAACAACATAAATCAAGATACGAAGTGTCAGAGTTTGTGAGTTTTGGCCCAAAAAGTCGCGATGTTTCCACGAAACAAATCAAAACGAACATCATCAAATTCCAATAAAAATATCAAAACCTAAAGTGGAGACTAGATCTGATTGTTTTCTATATTTTAATCGCAATTTTAAGAGAAAGGAATAAAAAACACTTATTATACAACTGAAATTTCGAAGGAATTTATATTTTTTGACCGCTTGTTGTTGCTCTCCGCAACTCCGATTTGGACACAAGAGGCGGTCTGGCAGTCACAAGGCACCCCTGTTTGTTTCAGACAGTAGAAAAGGTATTAAATATTGCATTTCACCACTTTTTCTCAGGCTTTTATAAAACAAATTTCTTGCAACACCTTTAGTATATATTGACATCGGCATATAAGCAAATGATGTCCAAATTTTGGGCACGTATACGTGCTGGAAAGTAATGACATCATCCGTTTCATCACAACTGACTGTACTTATTTATATCAATGACAACCAACCTTTTACGTCTGGGTGATCTACTTCTTGATCGTAATCGTGATCTTGACCTAGATCCTGAACTAGATCTTGACATGGATCGTGACCTACAAACGTTATTTCAATAAACATGAAAACATGTATTTTACCTATGGTGCAATTTGGATAAAACATGCAAGCACTCGTGCGTTTTTCAAAAACCTTAAATAGCACTCGTCCATAGTCTTTGTAAAACTCACTTGTGCATGTTTTATTTATTTGCAATTGTCGCAGAATGCAATGATGTACAAATGTTGAAAAATACCTTCTTCGTCGTGGAGACCGACTTCGCGATCTTGATTTCGTTCGTGATCTATAGGAGATTACAATTGCCTAAACTTATATCATCACTCTTCTCAAAACATCAAAATATATAAATTCTGCAGACACCATTCTGCATCACTCCACCCCCTTTAAAGGGAAATACACCCCTTAAAAATAATATTGCCTTATCGAAGTTGATCGAGGGCTGCAATCGTCTTTTCCACGCAAAGGAGAGCCTGCCCAGAGCCTTACCTTGATCTTCGTCGTACAGGGGATCTGGAGCGAGAACGTCTTTTGGGTGATGGAGATTTGGCTTTTTCAGGTGATTTCGACCGTGACCGAGATCTAGCAAAATAAATATCATAAATCAAGCTCAAGCTCTGTAGATAGTCAGAGGACACACGTAAAAACGCACAAGTTGTTACAAGTCTGCGAACAAGTTGTTACAAATCTGTTCACAAGCTGTCAACCAGTTGTGTTCGCACTGCTTGTTCCCAGGTTGTTGTAACAAGTTTGAAACAAGCTGTTAACAACTTGTAACAAGCTTGATGGCATTATCAGCCTTGTTACAAGACTGTGCTAACAAGTTTGTTACAGCCATGATATAACAAGGATGTTAAAAGGTTGTCAACACAAGGTTGTAACAATCTTGTTACATCAAGCATGTAACGGACTTGTCAGAACAAGCTTGCAACAAGTCTGATAATTTCGACAAGGTTGTTACAAGTTGTCAACAAGTTGTTCCAAACCTGTTGACAACTTGTGACAAGCGGTGCGAATACATCTTGTTGACGGCTTGTTGGCAGACTTGTTACAAGATGTGAGATTTTTACGTGTGTACATGATACTCATCAGATAACACTAAACGTAACGTCTACATTATACACTTGTGTAATACAAAGCCTATTTGAAAATCCTATAAATCCACTGCCTCAAAATGGAAACAGTTTGCCCTTTAGAGTACACGAGTTGGTTTGAGACCTGCATTTTTGTCCCGTCGGTAAGAAATCGCTATTAGAGAGTTTAAGTTCGACTTCCGATACCAATACCGATACTAACAACATGTCATGCGCACGCTCTCTGCTCGCAAGAAACACGAGGACAAGTGTATTGGAAGTCGGCCTTGTATTGGAAGTCGGGGGAATTGTAAGATAAACGCATATAAATTGGATATTTCATAATTTTTACGATAAACATGTAAACTATTTGTTTATTAGCATCGCCTGAGTAATGTTTTAGTCGGAATTTTAGCTCAGCTGCCGTTTAGTATACCGCACATTTTCGGTGACGATTAATGTATTCTATACTTTATCTGTCGTGATAACTTAACGCTTTAAAATTCCCCGTACCAAAATGAGAACGGAAGTGAAAACATTAGTATCGGTATTGATATTGGAAGTCAAACTTAAACTCTCTATTAACATGATGGTGTACCCGAGGGTGTATTCGCCTCTATAGCGACGGGTTTCCACTGCACATGAACTGTATTTACATCACAATTATGCATCACAAAAATATCCACATGCAATCTATTATGTGCGGATAACATATTTCAACGAGAAAACTAAACAACGAAAAGATTACAAGACAGACATAGTTCTGACAGGAGAATAACCTGCGTAACTGGCGGTTTTAAGGGACTAGGGTTGGACGCAGGCAGCGAAAATTAGGGAGATGAGGCGGGGGGAAGGCAAGAAAACATCCCGCAGGCTAACAGGAGAAAGGAACAGGATTTGAGACCTGCCCCTTATAACATTCAACAACACAACAACTCATCTATTTCCAACTAAAAAGACTAAAAGGAGTCTGGATGTCTATATACACATGTAAAGCCCCGCTAACTCGAACTCGTTTAACTCGAAATCCTCGCTAACTCGAACTAAATTCAATTTCCCCTGGATTTGACCCAATTTTTACAGTAATTTACTCCGGTTAACTCGAACTCCTCGCTAACTCTATATAATCCAGTAGAACACCGACATATATAATCCAGTAGAACACCGCTAACTCGAACTGCCAAGCGGAAGCGAAAAATTGTTCGAGTTAAGCCCGCCGCACACGAGCGCACTTGTCGCGCGTACTTGTTATTCGTGACAAGTTGGATCGACAAAATTTCCTCGTGTGCGGGCAACATTTACAGCATTTTCGTCATTCGTGACATAAGGTATAGTCGTTTTATTATTCATCACAATTGTGAGCCATTATGGTGCACTTTGTAAAGAACTTACAAAAATTGTACTACCTTTATCTAAGTTAAAGGGTTTTTAAGGCGCATTTCAGCCCTTTTAATTGAAAAAACTAACTAGGAAAATCAATTAGGCATAATTCAAGATCAGCAAACTTAATGTTTTTAACATTTTAAAACATTTTTATTGTTAAAAACATTGAGTTTACTGATTTTGAATCATGCTTAATTGATTTTCCCAGTTAGTTTTTTCAATTAAAACGGCTGAAATGCGCCTTAAAAACCATCATTCAAAAGGCTGTGCCTTTAAACAGTCCCTATCATGACACTTACAGTATCACAGTTTTACCAATAGTACTTATAAGCTAGATCAGTAATGATCGACGGAACTTTTTCTCTCGTTGAACCTTTCATCTCTTTATCGACTTATATTCCGATTAATTAAATTGTTGTTGTATGAACAGAAATCCAAGCTTCAGACTTCTCTTCAGACTGACACGGTTTGCAGATCCACGTCTCAAAAATACAGTTCAAGTTAACAACTGGGTAAATCTGACCAGGGGGAAATGAAATTTGTTCCAGTTAGCGAGGAGTTAAACGAGTTCAAGTTAACCGGAGTAAATTACTGTGTCAGAAAACAATCCAGGGGAAATTGAATCTATTAGTTCGTGTTAGCGAGGAGTACGAGGGGTTCCACTACGTAAAAGAGATAAAAGGTTCAACAAGTTGTGTCAGTAGCTTATAGGTACTGTTGGTAGGTACTGTACTGTTAAACACTGCAGTAACAGTAGTGCATAGTAGTTTATAGAGTACATCGTAATGGCTCACAATTAATTGTGATGAATAATAAAAAGACTGTATACCTTATTAACGTATTAAACGAATCCTCGCTAACTCGAACAATTTTTCGCTTCTTTAACTCTACTGCATGTATGTAGTTTACATGGATTTAAGTTTTGAAAACAAAAAGAAAGAGTTCGAAGCTTTGAAAGAAGAAGGTATAGACCGTTCCGCGGCTTCAACTTTTATGACTATGAGATTATATATTTGTTCTCACGCTGCTTTAAAGCCTGCTTTCCATATTGTCGCAACGGTCGTAAAGATTGAGTTACGATCTTCTCATCAATCGAAATACAACATTTTAGAACTGAAATACGCGGAGTGATTAGAACTGGAGAATACTTATGATTTATATGTGGTTTACAGGTATAAACTATTATAAACTGGCCGTTGAGAAAGATCGTGACTCTATTTTTACGACCATTAAGACCATATGGAAACCCAAACATGCTTAATAAGGACTGCAAATTCGTTGTTTACAAATTAAGGTTAAAATTGGAATATGACGCCTTTCAGTAATCTTTTTCTATCTTTTTAATCGCAAATGAAAAATGAAAAAAACTGAACTATAGAATGTCATTTTGATTAACAGCTAGGTATGAACGATTAACAGGTATAACATGAGTTTTGGCAGATAAAAATCGTAACTGGGTAATTCAAACACAAATTATATTACATTGAGAAAACACTGAGCCATTATACTCGAATGCATGCATATAGTCAAAACATTGCATATATACATGTAAATTATCTATCTACATTATAGAACACACCTGCCTGCATGAATTATTATAAATATCAAGTACTTAAGCTATAGACAAGTTATTAAATTATGTCCATGGTATATCAAAACTTTCTCGCCGTTAACAAGTGATATTAACTCAGTCATTGGATAACACCAGTATAAATGTGAAAACCATCTTTCTCTTCTATATAAAACTCTGAAGGAAAACGATAGTGACATCCAGACCTTGGTCAAAGAAACATCTCGCACACAAATTCATCTAAGATTTACATTGCCCATTGGACGCAAGTTGAAGAGATCCGTGTTTCTGGACTTACATTCCTTAATATCTTGTAAGTTGAAATCTTGTGTTCTGTATATTGAATCTACATATATTAAGTCGGTAAAATCCTAACTATATAGGATATCATACAATAAAATACAAAAATTTAACTATATTTACATACATTATTAAAAAGTTACTTAAACTGAATTGAATTGAAGAAGACTGTCTGAACTCACAATTTCCGAGGGAAGTGAGTTCCATGCACTCCCTGATCGTGCGGAAGGAAAATGAGAATTTAAAAACCTCTTTAACAATTCTACTTTTGTAAATTTAAAAACATCGTTTATAGGATGTTTATAAGTATTTCAACCATTGCATGAGTCGCGCGGAATAGGGGGGATTCAGTCAGTAGAGGTAGTCTTCGACTAAACGCTGGCCTGGTTTCTGAAGTAAGATTAAGTACATGCATGATTCAAGTTCACACTGATCATGAGATTCTTAAATATCCAATTCCGTCTTCAAGTTTTGATTCTTACTATCCCGTATGTTTTCCGCATATCTTTCTTATGCTACCTCCCACGACTTATTGAAACTCCGTATATCCAGCCATTTTTCTTCCTTTCCTGGCGTTTTCATTACCAAAAATAAACGTTATCCCACGTCCCGAAAAACCTATATTATGGATTATGGACCTCTTGAAATGTTCTTGTTGAACTTAATTGTAAGATACATGCATGGGATAGAATGGTTTAGGATGGAACGTTAATATACATATGAAAAGCAACCTTAAAATCAGTCGAGATCTTAGCTGCTAACGGAAGACTGTAGGCTTGATTACATTTAAGCCTGCATGTATTCTAGTGAGGGACACTCAAGTGGGATTGAAATGCATGGGTATATGAGTGGAATATGAGGCTAACGTTCCACTCATCGGGAGAGCACACTTCCTACAAAAATTAAATGTTGATTTGTATTCATGGAATGTGACTTGCTGAGTAGCACTTGTCGTTTCTTATTAGTGTTGTCATCGATCAATCAATGTTGGTATCGCTAAGTACAAGAAAGTGAGCTCAAGGGACGTATATTGTTCACTCAAGGAGTCAAGGTTTACTCAAATTCAGGCCCCAAGTCCGAGTGAGCTTTTAGAATGCAGGCGTTTATAATCTCGTCCATCGCTAACAATTTCCCTAAAATAACTTTTATCTTGTGAGAATAATTAACAATTACTCATGGATATAAGGTTATGAAAATCCTGTTTCGCTGCAATGCTGAACAAACCAAGATGAGTCACATGAACACCCAGTCCGGTAGGAAAGCCTTCCTTAAGAT